GTACCAACCGAATTAGATTTAACTTTGTTCAACGCTTCTATTAGTTCCATTTCATCAATACAACGAAATGAAAAACAATCAATCGAATTATCAAAGTTCTTTAAGTCAATATTGGAATTTGTACTGTTACCCGAAACAAAGAAATCATTTAATTCATTAATATCACCGTCATATGTCATTGAATCAATCCCAACACAGTCAACACCCCTAAGTACCGTCCAAAGAGCAGATGAATCAAGCCCCCAAAAAACTTTAGAAAAATGTAACCTCTTTACGAATAACATTCTTGGCCTTATTTCGAAGCTTACAGAAAACTCTCCATTTACTCTCTGAGCGATTAGACAAATAGGATCTATACGCAAGGTCCCTAAGACTTTGGGCAAATAGAATTTCTTTACATTTCATCCAATTTATGTTTTTATGACAAATTCTCTTTTTAACTACCGGAACACAAGAGAAGTAAGGCTATGACATTGGTCATCGTCATCACCACTGTAAAAATGAGAACAGTCAAAGTTAGAAAGGAGGCAAAGTAAATTATCCCAGTCTATTGATTTAAAATCGTGGAATTCAACATATTCCTTAGATTTCTAAATTTTCATCACAAAAGACGCAAACAGAAATTCATGGTGCGATATAGATGGACAACGAATTTGGTCTGAGAGACATACCATAGCAAAATCACTAACCAACCAATATTCATCAGTGGCCTCCGGTAGGTTAGTGGTTAGTGTTCTAGTATGGTAGACCGGAGGTGGTGGGTTCGATTCCCACCTGAGGCACTGGTTAAGGAGCGCACAACAGGCCCGATAGAGGCCTAGATGTATTTCTTCGGATTTGATGTATATACATCTCCTTTCAAACTAACTAACTAACTAACCAATAGTCAATAAGTGATGTTGATCCATGAGCAATATCATAGTGTGTTGGTTTTTAGTTATAATTAGATTTAACAGTATCAAACAAACTGCAGTTATAATCCCCCACAATAATGATGTTATTATAACTCAAACAAGTTAGAGTGCTATATTCGGCTTTGCCAAATCTTAAATACCCTCCTCCTTAAACTAGTTTCATAAATTATCAAATTATCATTTCATTTCATTTTCATTTATTTATTTTCATAATAATTTTATGGATTGATTCAAATTTACCTTAATATTTTAGACTTACTTTCATTACGCCTTACAATATGCAATTAAAAACAAAACTATCACTTAACAGACTGTTACAGAGCGTACTAAATTTAACAAATGTTAACTTATGTTCTGTATTTAAAATAATTCCTATGTGTGACAAAAATGTATGGGAATAGTTATAGTTATAAAACTTATATAATTTTGTACGTGAGGTACAATAGATTTTCAACGTTGTTGATCCTATGAAAAAATAAAAAAATTAGCTTTTAAATTTTTATTGTTGAACCGAATTTCGACACTTAATTTGATTTTTAAAAAATTTTAATTATTTATGACAATAAAAGATAAATCGACAAGGAATTCAACCGGCAATGCTCAATTTGTTAATTCTCCGTTCCATCCACTACACCACTTAATTATTTTGTCCTTCGTTAACTAATATTTTTCATATAAAAATGCCATGTTATTTTCTGTTTGTACAAAACATTGCTGCTGAATAACTTTTATCAACACTGATGTTGCTGAATAGCATAAGAAATTAAATAGTGTGCACTTTCTCAATGTGCACATTTTATTTGATCTTGGGTTAACAAAAATTTTTTACACAAACAGGAACGATAATTTCTATGTGAACATTAGTTGCAAACAATTACGAAGCTAGTTAATAGTGTAATGGGAATGGCGTATAACTATCAACTGGGAGATTTTAAGTTCGAATCCTGTTCGTTTTGGACTGTTTTTGTTTATTTTTTTGCGAAAAATAATCAATTTTTAATCACTATGGGTGGTGCAAGAAATTGTGGACTGATTTCCATTTTCAACTCAGTGAATTCTTAAACTGTATGTATGGCAAAATTCAACAATAAATATTTGTGCCAAATTTTTTATGGATATCATTATATGGTAATTAGTAATATGCGTTTAAGTGATTCTCGATAGGGGACCTTAAATGAGAGCTATGATCAATTATGGACCGATCGTGAAAAAAATTGTAATAAGATTTCTGTAGATAAAAGCAATATTTGTGCCAAATTTTGTATGGATATCTTTATTTCGTACGACCAATTACGGACCGATCGTAAACAAATTTTATAGTATCATTTCTGTATATAAAAGCAATGTTTGTGCTAAATATTGTATGGATGTCTTTATTTGGTAATGAGAAATATGTGATTTTGAGAATGAGATCTTTGGCAATATTTGTGCCAAAGTTTGTATCAATATCGTTATTTGGTAATAAGTTATGTGCGTTTAAGTGTTTTTCGGTTAGAAGTTTAAGTTATTGTCCATGTTTATTTCTGGTATTTTCGTTTTATTTTCATTTAGTTTATTCATTTTGAGCCAATTATTTATAGTCATCATATCTGGCATTAAATTATTTACATTCCTCATCCGTATCCGATTCATTGAAAATTAGAGTATCGTCCGCGTATAATACTATCTCACATTTTCTTAGCATATTTGGCATGTCATTTATATAAATAATGAATAGTAGAGCCCCTAGAATTGATCCTTGTGAAACCCCGTATTCATTTTCATTTTCGATTGATTTTATATTGTTCACTTTAATTATTTGTTTTCTATTTGTTAAATATGATTCAAACCATTTCAATTCTTTATTTTGAATTCCACAATTGTATAATTTCCGTATAAGGATGTTTCTATCGATAGTCTCAAATGCTCTTTTAAAATCCAAAAAAATCGCCATAATTTTTTTATTTTTATCAATATTTTTTCCACCTGTTTATGACATAATTGACCGTTGTTTCGCATGAAAATTTGTTTCGGAATCCGGATTGATATTTGGATAATATATTATTTGTTTCTAAAAATTTTTCAAGTTGGTTTTTCACAATCTTTTCCAAAATTTTTTCACATAATTTTAATGTATTAATCGGACGAAATTCTTGACATTTATTTGTTTTTAGTATTTTTTCGATTGGAGTTGTTATTGATGTTTTCCAGTTGTCCGGGAAGATTCCAGTTTCCAATGATTTATTTACAATTTTTAGTATATTACGACCAATTATATTCCAATTATCTATTATCATTTGGATATTAATATTATTAAAGTCTGGTTTATTTTTTATTTGTATACGTAATAATGATATAAAAATCTTATTTTTATATTAAAAACATCATTTATGATTACAACTTTTAAAAATTAATGCATCAAAATCGTTATAATAAATATTGCGATATGTCTCCTGTACAATACCTTGAATCGTTTCTATTATTTTTTTCAATACCTATATTACTCAAATATACTTATATACCAATAAAATACAAATAAGTTAAACAAGTATAAAATGTATAAATTACGGATGAAAGTATACTTAAATACCTTCCATTTGAGATATTAATCATGAAAATCGAACGAGAAGTTATTGGATGACATTAAATTTATAACCCTAAATATGTATAAATATAACAGCCTATTTTTTAACATTACAGTCTTTATAATAGCAATTTTTTCAAAATATGGTCGCGATAAGTGCAACTTTTACTTTTTTTTACGGCAAAAGAAACATTATTTAGAAATAAGTTTTCGATTTTTTTTCATTAACTTCGTTTTTCAGTCAATGCATCTTAAATTTATTTGATTAGTCATAGGCACCTAAAAACAGAATTGTATATCTCGGCCTATGTTATGATAACAAATATAAAATTATATATTTTTACAAGTAATATATTACTTTACAGTTATTTTTACTTTTATTAATTAATAAATGAATTGATTACTTAAACATCAATTAATTGATTGCTTTTATTAAAGAATTATTTAAAACTGTATAGGACTTTAGTGGTCGGTCATTGCAACATTTCGCAAATTGCAACAACCCCGATTTCCTTTCTGTTGCGCAAATCGAACCCGTACTGTACTAAGTTAACGATTTTAGTTTTAGTAATCGAAAAATAAATGTTCATCTTTAATGAATAAAACATTCGAGAATGAGCTTATTGAAGTTTTACATTTAAGCCATTTAGGTGCCATCGAGTCCACTGAACGGAGCCTGATTACATCATACATAGCTGTATTTCGCATGAAATATTCGCTGAAAATTGTAGGTCTGGTAAATTTTATTTAACCATTGTGTAAATACCCGGGTATGTTTTTCATTTTTGAAGTGATATATCTCGAGATCAATATATCGTATCGACTTGAAATTTGTGGTATTCTATCAGAGTAATGTTTTCTATAAATTTTTAGTTAGATATATATTTTTTAAACAGATTTATGACCGATTTTCTACTTTTTCCTCGTACATCAATACGCAACATACCTGGGTATGCATAACAATTATATGTCAAATTAAGTTTCGTTAAGTTTTATTATTGGAATTATATATAAATTAAAGAAAACTATGTTCTTAGTTGAGTACTTGACTGCAACTAAGAACATAGTTTTCTTTAATTGGCGCCCCAAGTTGGGCGCCAATTAAAGTTTGCCGATTCTTTGTTATTTCGCTATAGAATAAGAAGTTTACGGAACAACATCAATTGCTAATCAATTATTGAACAAATAAAGACTTATAAAAAAGTAAGAATTAGTAAGTTGAAATTAAATTTTATTTTTTATTATTTACAATACTTTGTATTTTATGTTAAGTTTATATACTTAGGTGTTATGGCTTAGTAGTACGTAAGATTGGCCTTATAGGCTTTGTATTACTTCATGAATAAATAAAAATAAATAAATACATAAAAAACAAATACTTATACGATTTAAAAAAAAAGCGAATACCTAAAAAATTTTAATTACTTTTGATTTTTACATTATTATTAACTTTATGTGTTTTATTACATATGTAATTCTATTCTAATTATGGATCTATTTTTTTATATTTCTCTCTATTTTAGTCCGGTCAAAGCAACAGTAGTATTGCTAATTCAAGTCTCAATAACAACAATAGTAATACCAGCACAAATTGCAGTAGCAATATAATTTGTAACCAAAACAGTTCAATTAATAATAACAATAATAACATAACATCTATTGGTAACAGCAGCAGTAATAATCACAATTCACTTGTTGCCTCTTCTTCAGTAAATACAAATAATTCGCAATCAAATACAAACATAAGCAACATCATTAATAACAACAACAGCAGTAGCAGCAACATCTTGATAAACAATAATTGTAGCAGTGTTGGTGGCAATAGTAACATCATTATTGGTAATAATGGTGGCCTTGCTCTCGACCATCATATTGGCGGCTTAGTAGGTGGAGGAACTTCTACTGCAGCGGCAAAAAACCAATTAGAGCAATTAAACACAATGCGTGAAGCTCTATTTTCTCAGGATGGCTGGGGTTGCCAGCACGTTAATCAGGATACAAATTGGGAAGTGCCAAGTTCACCAGAGCCCACAAATAAAGACCCCTCGGGTCCCCCAATGTGGAAACCAACTATAAACAATGGTACGGACTTATGGGAATCCAATTTACGCAATGGAGGACAGCCTACAACACAACCTGTACAGAAAACTCCCTGGGGCCATACACCCTCTACAAATTTGGGTGGCACTTGGGGTGAGGATGATGATTGCACAGATGCCAGTAATGTTTGGACTGGTGGACCAACTGGTCCGTCTGCAGTCGGTGTTTCTGGTGTTACCCCTGGATCTGGTGCTAGTGGACCATCAAATGGTCCGCAGTGGGGTCAAGGTGTAGGTGTGTCAGGAGCTGGTGTTCAAGCAGCAGTTGCTGCTCCCACATCAATTACAGGTGTCGCTCCTGGAGGTAAAATGATAAAAATCAATTAGTACCGATTCAAAAATTCTTGTTATATATATTACTATAATTATTTTTATACTTATTTACAGGTACTTCTAACGCAGGTGGTGTAAACTTGCCGGGAACTCCAGGAGCAGGAGGAGCAAGTGGAGCTGGAAACGGTTGGGGTGATCCACGTGTTGGCGCCATGGGCGGTGGTGGTGGCCCCTTAGATATGCGCTCTGTCGATCCACGTGATCCTATGCGAGCTGCTTCAGCAGGCGATCCCAGAGAATTAAGAATGCTGGATCCACGTGATCCAATACGTGGTGATCCTCGAGGAATTTCTGGTCGTCTTAATGGCACATCAGAGATGTGGGGTCAACATCATCCAATTGCGCAGCACCAAATGCCCGGTTTAAATAAAATGGGTGTCGGAGGACCTAATGTTAGTGGAGTTGGAAATGTTGGTGCTGCACCAGGAGCAGGCGGCTTAACAGGGCCTTCATCTGTTGGTGGTTTAAATGCAGCAGGTAATGTAGTAGGTTCCCAATGGGGAGCTCCGCCACAGTCTGTTGTAGGAGCACCGAAAGATATGGTAGGCTCAATGGCACCAAAACCGCCAGTTAGCGGTTCTGGATGGGAAGAACCATCACCACCACCGCAAAGACGAAATATACCTAATTATGATGACGGAACTTCGCTTTGGGGCCAACAATCACGTGTACCTGGTGGAGTAGGTGGAGGTGGTGGATCTCATTGGAAAGAAATTTCAGATCCACTAAATCCACGCAATCATTTAATGCGTAGTGCAATGGGCGGTCAAAATTCTTCAAATGTATCTAACATGGGTGGTGCTGGTGGTGGATCTGCTGGAAATTCATCCTCTGGTGGAGCAGGGGTAGGCTCAACGGTGAATCCAAATAACCCAATGGGTGTTGGGGCTGTTGGTCCCCCAGGCGCACGACTAGTTTCTGCCATTAATGGTCCCGGTGGTATGGTCGGTGGACCTCATAAACCTGACAACGGCATGTGGCCTCATCCTGCTGGTCCACCTAATGTCCCTACAACTGGAGTTGGTGGTAGCCGAAATGCTGGCGGCTGGGGAGATGTAGAAAATCACAATGTTATTAGTGGCGCTGCTTCTGTTAGTGGGAATGGTGGGGGTAATTGGGGTGACGATAAGTCTAACCAAGCTGTCAGCAACATGGGCCAAGCAGGAAATTCATGGAATGAACCTCCCAGTGCCTCGGCTTGGAATAAATCCAATCAAGCGAAATTGGCAGGTGCTACGAATAGCACAGGATGGGGAACAGGCGTCTCTAATGCAGCTTCTGGTGCTAATGATTCTAATGATTTAAATCCTAATGATTGGACAACAGCTGCACACAATACGATAATGAGTAAAGCTCAACAACAGCAAAAACTTGGGAGTGGTGCGACAGTTAATCTTGGTGGTATTAATAGTGACCTAATAAAGCAAAGCAAACAGTACCGAATGTTAGTAGAGACAGGCTTTAAGAAAGAAGACGTTGAGCGATCATTAATTGCTACAAATATGAATTATGACGAGGCCACTGAGATGTTAAGGGCTAATTTGACTGCTGTCAATGCTGGTGTTGGTATGGATAATTGGAGGCGTCATGACGATAATTTGAGTTCCTATGCTGATCATAATGCCGCCGTTGCTGCTGCTGGTGGCTCATTTCATGGCCGTTACACTATAGGAGGAACACAACCTGCTATATCATTCCCTCCGGTGAGATATTTTTTTTAAACACCAAATTTTATTAAATTAAATTTTATTCTTGCATTTTATTATACAGAATAACCTTCTAAATTCAATGGGCGGTGGATCTGTCGGTGCTAGCGGCGGTAATAATCCACAACTGAATGCCCTTAATTCAATGCAACCCTTGCAAGTGCAAAAGTACCTTAATCAAGGCCCTCATAACGTCGGTGCCGGTGGACCTCAATCTGTTAATGCTGCTGTTGCCTTTGGTCAAGGATCTAATGTTGCCGCTGTCAACGCTGCAGCTGTAAATGCCGCCGCGGTTAATGCTGCCGCCGTATCAAACAGTACGAATCAACCATCAACCCAACAACTTCGTATGTTGGTCCAACAAATACAATTAGCCGTACAGAGCGGTTATTTGTCTAGCCAAATATTAAATCAGCCATTGGCTCCCACCACACTTTTACTCCTTAACCAATTACTTAGCAATATTAAGGTAAGTCAGCAAGTAATGACTTTATTAGTATGAAGTTTTAAACAATTAATGATTTTCTTACATAGCATCTACAAGGGGCCCAGCAATCATTAGCACGTAATGGTAATAATGGCAGTACGCTGCTAGCCATTGCAAAATATAAGCAGCAAATACAAAATTTACAAAACCAAATAAATGCACAACAAGCAATATATATAAAACAGCAGCAAGCTTTACAACCAACTCCACATCCGGCTGCTACGCATATCAATAATACTAATAACGAATATTTAAGAAGCCACGATGCCATATCAGCTTTGCAGGCAAATTTCACAGAAATGAACTTAAATAAGGTACAAAAAGTACATATTTTACTTCTTTTGTTTAAACTCGAAAATAACAATGATTTTTTATTAGTCTGGTGGCTATCAAGGCACACCAAATCAACAATCTAGATTAAATCAATGGAAGCTTCCATTAGACAAAGATATCACTACGGATAGCACAGAATTTTCTCGTGCACCTGGCGCCACTAAACAAGGTGCTGCTTTAACCACAACAAATGCGAGTAATATGGGACCTTTGGGTCTACAAGGTGATGGGTAAGTACATATAACGTTAAATTATGTTGTTGAATTCTACTTGCACTTTGTTCAGATATTTTAAAATGGGGAAATTTTTTATAATGTAGTATGATAGTTCGGGATACGCTTATATAATAGGCTAGCTATTGGCCATAATCGTTGCAAATTTCTTTACTTAAAAAAAATTATACATAAAAAATATAATCATATAACAAAAAAATACAAAATAAATTATTAATAATAAAATCAATCTATAAACTGAAGATTATTATCATTATTATTCGACTTTTTCAATATATAAATAAATTATTTAATCGAGCTCGAGGTCTTTATCTTGATTCAATGTGATCTTTATTAAAAATTCAATATTTCGACATCCTTTGGATGTCATCTTCAGGAATTTTAAACATAAACAGAAAAACATATATTATTTTCATGTGTCACTACTATATACTATACTACTATATACTATATATGTATTCAAAACATAACAAATAAATAAAGAATATCAACACTTACAACGAGTCACAAAAATACACAACAAGTTCTTGTAAGTCTATATTTGCACTAATTGTAATTATTCATTTTATTTATGATATATCTATAGCTTTGTGCACAATTATCGGTGTCACTCTTAAAATTCATTCTCTTGTGTAACGGTGTATTGATGATGTGAAGCATCTCTAGTGTAAATCTCTTATTATATTTCTCTTCCGTCTGTAATATTTCAACTTCTTTGAAGTTCGGCGTGTGGCCGTAAGTGCTGTCTTCTGTGATGATAAATTATTCTTATATTTTATGTCAGATTTATGTCCGGAAATTCTTGTTCTTAATTTATTTTTAGTAGTTCCAACGTAGGTTTGATCGCAGTCGTCACCGTTGCATTTTATCCTATATATTAAGGTTGTCCTATCCATTTTGTCAATTTTGGTTTTTGTGTTTGAAAACAGTTTTCCTAATGTGTTTTGAGCTCTAGGCGCCAGTTTAATTGTGTCCTCATTGCATATTTTCGAACTATCTATATGTTCTAATATTCCAGGTATATATGTTATTGATTTATACATTTTCCCTTCCCTATTCTCGGCAGTCTTCTCGAACTTTTTATTCTTATTTACTAATTTCCGTATAAGTTTCCCCGGAAATGAATTCTTCGACAAAATTTCCCTAACTTTCCCAATATTTTCCCCATGGAATTGTTTATCACTTACTGTCAAAACTCTCATGATTAAATTTTCAGCCGTATTTATAATGATTTTCTTCGGTTGACAAGTGGAAATTTATAATTCTACCAGATGATGTTGGTTCCTGGTACCAATCAGTTTTTAATCTGTTTCCTCTCCTAATACCATAGTTATTAGGAAAATTTAATCCGGAGAGTTTTAACAATAATGCTCAGGAGTTTATTAAGTGTTTACTACTTTCTAATAGAATAATACGTTATGTCTATCAATTAAAAATGCATGATCATGTATCTGAGTATGTTAGAGATTTCTTGGGGTGCTGTTTTATGAATTTTGTTCAAATCCGTTTGTTATTGTTCTTTTATAAGTTAGTAATAACTAATTGAACTGAATATGTTAGAAATACTTTTGAATTTTTGCATTCTGACAGAAATCCTGAAATTTTAATTCCTATAATAAATCGAACTACTTACGAAAGATCTTTTCATGTACAAGTTCCTAAACTTTGGAACTCTCTTTCTCGAGTTCTTAGATGTTTTGATTTACGATTTACAACATTTAAGATGGAGCTTTTTGAATATGCATCCAGTAATGTAATTTAATGTAATTATTACTTTTTTCTTAAAGATTGGAATGAATTTTTAAAATTATACAGCGCTAATAGATATTATCATATATGAAGTTATTTACACACACATATGTACATATGTATATGAAATTCATTTTTGTAGTCAGCCTCTTATTTTTATTTTTATTTATTTAATACAATTTTATAACCAAGCCCATAGGGCCAAATATGGCTTAAAAACTACTAACATACATATATTCAAATACAAAATTATGAGCTATTAAACATAAAAATTTAACAAATTTAATAATATAAAAAGCTTAAACCTAAATGTTCATTCAAATTGGAAACTTGTTAATAGTTAAGTAATTTCACAGCTATTATAATATTCTACAAGTTTGTTTTTAAATATATTAATTGGGAAATTAAAACTCCTTAAGCTCCTGGGTAGAGAATTCCAAATCCTTGTAGTTCGAACACGAAAAGATCTTTCATAGATAGAACTGTTAATACGAGGATATATTATTTGTGGATTTCTAACAGATCTCGTAAATTCAAATAATTGTACCAAGTACTCCGGAAAACCTTCTACAATAATTTTATAATATTGCAACATTACCCTAATACCAATAAAACTTCTAAATTTACACCCTAAAAAGACATGAGATCTAATTCTAAGATTATAAACATATCGTACAATTCTATTGAAGAGAAGATTATATCTACGCATTAAGCGACCACAAAATCCAGTAAAAACCTCAGCACAATACAACATGTTAGACATTAATAAAGCATAAGCAATGTTCTTCTTAACATATGTAGGCAAATAAAGATTCAAAGAATACAATCTACGAAGTGTATAATTTATTCTGTTACATAGCCAATCAATATGATGTTCAAAACTAAGGTGACAATCAATATAAACTCCAAGACATTTAACATACTCTACAAACTCAATACTAACATTATCAATCATAATAGACAGATTAACATCAGTTCTAGGTGACTTAAAAATCATAGCCTTGGTCTTCTCACGATTAATACATAGTCCACAACTTGACATCCAACTAGAAACAGAAGACAATACCGTATTAACTAAACACTCCAAGGCATCAACAAACTGAGATTCTCCTGCAAATAGTAACTGAATATCATCTGCAAAAATAAACAATTGACAAGAAAATCCCTCAACATTTACCGTTAGATCATTCATATACAATAAAAATAATAAGGGACCAATAACAGAACCTTGCGGAACACCACTTGTGACCAAAGAACATACAGAACAACATTGGCCACACTGAACAAACTGATATCTATTAGAAAGATAGGAAAATAACAATTTACACGCAGTTGAAGAGAATTTAAAGAAATTACATAGTTTTTGTATTAACATTGAATGACTTACACGATCAAACGCCTTAGACAAATCAAGCGCAACTAAAACAGCAAAATCATTCCTATCCATAATTTTACGTATAGAATCTGTCAGACCTAATAAAAGTGAAGTGGTATTCTAACCACGACGAAAACCAGTTTGATAGGGATTAATCAAATTGCTGCTATCTAAATATTCTAGCATTTGTGTTTTCATAACATGTTCTACAATCTTAGATAATATGGGAACTATAGATATCGGTCTAAAACTACATTCATTTCCATTTTTACTAATAGGAACCACCTTAGCGACCTTCCAATTCATAGGAAATACAGAATAAGTTAAAATGTTATTCACAAGATACAAAAAATGTGTTTGAATAAAAGGAAAAATAATCTTAAAAAACTTTAGAGGCAAACCATCGGGACCAGATGCATTCGATTTTATGCTACAAAATGCTAACACTAATTCATTGATATTCATTGAAGAAAACCTACTATCAACAAAATTAAGCTTTGAATCAAAAGGATCAACTGTATCCACAATTCTACAACTCAAAAATTCCCTATTCAATTCCTCAGCATCTAAATCCTCAACAGATGTCTCATTATCTAATCCTCCATTGGATTTTATTAGATTCCACATACCTTTAGCATCAAGATCTCTAAATTTCGTAAAATGCGCTTTCCTTTTTGCATTCCGAACAACAGATTTAGCCCTATTCCTAGTTCTACAATATATCTCCCAATTTTCTCTTGAGGGTGTAAGCAAATAAGCTTTAAATGCCAAGTCTCTAAGTGAAAAGTGGTATTTGATGTCAGACGAATCAAACCAGTCCTCTCGAGGAATAAAAACCTTACGTCTTTTTACAGGAACAAGTGAGTGTAAATATTCTACACATTGCATGAAATTACAGAGTTGAATATTAACATCCGTATTTGTATACAATTCAGAAAAATCAAATTGAAGAACCTGCTGATGCAACATTTCTATATCAATAGCATTATAGTTCTTAAACTCAATATATTGAGGATCAGGAGTATTTAAAACAGATACACTAAGAAAAATAAATGAATGGTGAGAAATAACAGGACATTGCATTTGATTACTTAGTAGTATTGAAGTAGGACGACTAACAAAAAAGAAGTCTAATAAAGATGTAGAACTCCTCGAAACATCAAAATGAGTATGAACACAGAAAAGATCCAATCTTCTACATAAAGAATGAACTAAATAGGAATTAGATGGATTAAATAGGTTCATATTAAAATCCCCCATTATAACAACATTAGAGTACTTAACAACTAAATCACCTAACCTTTCCTCCATAACCCTCAAGTTATCATTCCTACTATCAGGAAGATAAACAACACCAATCAAAATTATGTTACCCCCTAATTTAATCTCAACAAAAATAGACTCAAAAACACCAAAATCTGTTGATTTATAAACTACTTTCACCTTAAACTTTTTAGAAATAAAAAGACCTACACCACCACCTCTAATCTGACCAATTCTATCACTCCTATAAAATTCATATCCGGGGATTGCAATTGCCTGAGAAGAAATATAAGGCCGAAGCCATGTTTCGCTCACACCAATAACATCTAAAAGACAATCCCGTAAAATATGTCTTATTTCATCAATCTTTGTTGATGAAGCTGTTATTTTGAAACTTTGACAGTTAAAATGTCCAAAGCTCAAACCGTTAACTAAGTTTCCTAAATTTGAACGCAAATAAGAGTTATCATGGACAACTGGACCTAAATTTAAATTAACATTCATATTAAAAAAAAAAAATAAAATATTTATAAATTTTAAAATTCAAATCTAACGCAATTTAAATTATATAATAGTTAACAATTGAATAAAATTTTAATTTTTACCAGAA